ATCGTTTACACCCAGCAGATGGAATGGTTCAAAATGTAGCGGATACTCCCATTTCGTCAGTAGTGGTTGACCTAGACCATGATGAGTTAAGAGCTGAATAAGGAGAATGGAACAGTTTTTATTAACAATAAATTAACCTTAATAATAAGCAGGATGTAAAGTTTATGTACACTAGTAGTCGATTAGTCTGTTTTTTTTCTTTAGAACTTTTTTGAGTCTCTTCGGTGTCAAACCCATTAACTTTGTTATGAAGTCATTTTCTATGTTGTGCTCTATTACGTATCGCACTTTTGCCTCCAAGGTCCAATGCATAGGTAGCATATTGACCTATCTCTTCAAAACAGAAAACAGATTTTCAATCACGTTGAGATCCGGGATATTAGGAGGAAGTTGCATGAGCTGGACCTTAGAGTCACGCATCTGTTCTGAAGTCTGGAGACAAATAATAAGTGAACCAGACTACCTGACTAAATGAATTTACTAATCTCTCGTGAAACATGACACGGAGCGTTATTCTGAAAAACGATAACTTTTCCAGACGATTCTTCTTCATGAAATTCTGGAAAAAGTTTCGAAATTATTGATGTAAATTTCGTACTATTCATGGTGCCTTTGACTGATGTTCACCGACAAGGCTGACCATTTTTTATTCCTGCCCAAATGAGTAATTTCATTACAAATTAGGGAAATGGCAAGTGTTGACGGAAATAATTTGGGATAATTCTTGAGTCATTCTTATTAGAAAGTATTGCGTTGTCATACTTGATACAGTTTGCGATTCTCATGTTCAGATCATTTATTCTTGGCACTCAAGGTCAGGCACGTTTAATTGACAATCATGCAGCCCAGAAACTACGTACATCGAAGTAGACAAGATATAAATTATTGTCCATACCCAAAGCATTAATATGGGTGATAAATATAATGAAACTCCCTTTGATCATAAAGAAAATATTGTAATGCATCACAATCGGTCAGTACTGTATATGTTCCATTGATTGAACGAAGTTGGTTATTTTTGAGGAGCAGTTATCCAATGTAAATGTACGATTATTGATATCAGCTCCTTGACTATAAGTGCGGAGCACAAAAAACACCAATGCAGTGGATTATCATTGACTCACCTTCCTGTACTCTGTGATAAAAAAATCACCCGGAGTCTTTCACACTCTGGGTACTCGACCAATACCAGCAGTTTATTTGGAGGAAAAGGTAACCGAAAACAACAACAAGTTGTTTGTCACGGTTAGGATAATTCGCACAGACAAATCGAGCTCGGGCTCGGGGCTAATCCGTTCCTGATTCTCATAGCGAACGTCTTTTTCGATCAGGTAACCAAGTACCTACACCTCAATTATCTCCTTCCACTTTATCACATTACACTTAGAACAGCCCAAAAGTTGAAGTCAAACAAGTTTGATTCAATACGAATTATTCCTCAATCTCATCTGTCAGCATGTTTTTGTTTCTTCGACAGGAGACTGTAAAAACACGCTCAACTATGGACCGCGGGGTACAAGTTCAAATTGACGATACTAACGGGGAAATGAACTCGGACTATCAAATGAACCAGTCCAGTTTCGGTGTGGATATCAATCCGGAACAGTTTGAAATGACAAAAACATCCTCCGCCTATCCCGTTTTGGATAGAACAGATGACGAGCTCGTCTCAGACCAGATGCGGATGGGTCAATCGGACGAGATAGAACGGCGTAAACGATCTCTTGAGGAAGTGTTTCAGGAGATTGAGCCCGCGGAAAATTCACTTATCTCAAAACTAAGCTTCATCCTGTCTCAGGGTAAGTGTTATGTATTTGAGTTGGACTAGGACCAATCAAATGACCCACCATAACTGTATAAATCATGCTTTTCTACATCTTTTTGGGGTTTTATTTGTAGTCATACATACTTCATTCCTCGTAATGAAACGCATTGCAATAAAATCGCCTGGAAGTAAAGCATTAGGTCATGCCGTCAATATAAATATCCGATCAGTTGCGTAACTTCCTCCCAGTATCTGCAAGTCGATCAAGGTGGATCATAGTATTATACTCCCACAAGGCAATGCCCGAGAGTGAATATTTATTATTTTTGTTCATTGCAATAACGATACGAGCACAATTGGATGACAGAACAAAGCGTCTCATCCGAGATAGTGCAATCATGATTTTGACAAGCACGCATGGTAATTGATGGGACAGTTTGACGATTGATGTGTATTTTCCGTAGTTACAATTTCGAATTTTGCCCTAGGAGATCTTGTTCATTTCTCACCGTTATCAGAAATCGTAGATCAGATCTTGCGCGCTCACAACTAATAGTAGTATCTCACAAAAATAGAACGTTCATTGGATACTATATTTGTTCTTTCACTGAACTATCCGAACAAAGTAACGAGCAAATTTTCAGCCCCAAATTCCAAGGCAGAAGGTCTAGGAAAGGGATATAATAACAATCATCCATGCCATGATAACATGCCAGACAACTTTAATGCCTTCACTGTTTCCTTTTTCGAAACCTTCATCTGTTGTAATAGATTCTGCAAGCGAAAATAGTTCTGTCCAGACCAGCAACTGTCAGACTTGAGCGACGATATGGAACACAAAAGCCCCGATGGCCACAGTGAGAGTTCTTTTCCAATAGAAAATCATTGCAGTTTATTACACAAATGAAGGCCAAACGGAAGATTCACCACTTAATAAAGAGCATATCAATTTGAATGAATTTGAATAAGTTCTTTCTGCACCGGAAATTGCATGGTTAGATAGCAGGTGCGGACAGTAAAGTATGACAATAACAACACAGAACATCGACAATGAACATGGGTCCCCAAGGCAAAGTGAAGACTTGAATTTCCAGTAGCCGTATACTGTAAACCAAAATATTGGAACATTCATCAGCCAGAACAATGCACTCGTTCATCTAACCGCTAAGCAAAAATCCCAAAGTAGAATGAGATTTAGTCATACGAGGCAAATTGATTGATATCAGCACGATGTTTGATCGAAACCGAGTCATGCAGCATACCCGGCAGAATTGTTCGACAACCTGTACTCCTATCTGGCGAAGCTGGTTGAGAGAGGAGCAGCGAGCATGTCTGAATGGATAATGAAACAATGACGGAGGATTGCGAATGGACCATCAGGAGGCACTAAGGTTTGGCGCAAGTCATCGATTAGGCGAGGATGGACCACTCAGTAAAGGAAAAATCAATGGGCAGACAACCGCTATTTTTAGAGTTACGCGCGGACGGACACACTCATGTCTCATTTTACGAGTTAATTTTATTCATCTGAAATGTTAAAGTATACCTTCAAACAAAAAAACAGAAATAAATCTTACACACATTAGGCAAAGGAAAAAGGATGATCAGGTCAAACTGTTTAAGCGTCGAAATAAAATCCCTCGGTTTGCCCACCAATAGGCAACGGCTGGTGAACAGCTACTTGCATCCATATAACTCGTGTCCGACATAAAGGATTCACTAAGACTGATGAGAAAATTAACGAATTCAAGACTCAGTAAAAAACGCTTTTGTGGTTTCGCTCTAGCCAAACATGAAAAAATGAAGAACTCGGTACACAAAGTGAATCGTAGGGAACGTGAATCGATCCAAAAAAGAAATACGCAAGTAAATCACAGAGCTGATAAAAAATGATTTTCATTTTCCCAGCTACGGAAAGTTAAGCTGTCTTGTAAGCACTACTATCATTTCTACTTCCTTCTGTTTCCTTCGACTCAATGATTTTATGAAGTTACTATCCATTTGCTCTGAATGGAAAGTCTACACGTAGTAATTTTGACCTGCTTTGATGCGCATGTGTGCTTTTGGATTGGCAATTGCGCAGTATCATTCAATTTAAAACCGTTTTGGTACAAATAAGTGTTTATCCCTCCTAGAATAGTCAAAGTCAAACAATGGGGGAAGAAACAACCGTCACCCGCGTAAGCAGCAA